TTTTTTTTTTTTTTTTTTTTTTTTTTTTTTTTTTTTTTTTTTTTTTTTTTTTTTTTTTTTTTTTTTTTTTTTTTTCCTTTTTTTTTTTTTTTTTTTTTTTTTTTTTTTTTATTTCGATTTTTTTTTTTTAAAAAAAAAAAAAAAAATTTCCTTTCATACACAAATAAAACATTCTTTGGTTGATGTAATTACATAATAGAACTTAATTTTTATGAATTATGAGAATAGTATTAAGTGATGATTTCCTTGTCGTGCTGTTAAAATAATATAAATATAAATCAAGGTTAATTTTTGTATAGATTCTTTGAAGCATTGGTTATAAGATCAATAAACATAATTGAATTTTTACTAGGTATTGAAGAATCAAATAAAACAGATTTTATAATATAATCAATTATACTCTTGAATCTCATTTATATTACTTAACAACAAAAATAAATAGTTAAACTAAATAAATTTTTTTATATGAAAAATTAGAAAATCAAAATTCAATGTCTAGTATAAAGAAAATAAATTCTGCTTACAGAAGGCCCAGATAGTAAAAGTTAGAATATCCAAGCTTCTGAAATGACAACTTTCGTGATTTTCTTTAAAAGAAATTGATAAGCTACCTTTGAAATATATTGTAAACGGGGGACTAAGAAAGCGCTAACTATCAATAAAATGAATGTTACCAAATTCCTAAACATCATTTAACTTTTATTTTTGTAAAATCAAATTATAAGTTTTACATTTTTCAAATTCAAATTAATAACAAGCATAATTTAAACTATATACAAATTATTTAATATTCTACTGGATCGTCCTTGCTATCAACCGTATCTACAACATCCTTGGTCGGAGTATCTTCATTACTCGCATCATTCGTATCCGTGCATTCATCTTCATTATTGATTGGCATCTCTACAGCGTTTTTCGTCGTTTCCGCTATACTAATATTCTCATGATCTTTTTCTTTAACTTTCTCGGAAGGATTTAGAACTTTTAATTCTGACTGATCTTCTTCCATTTTTGTATCATCAGGATTTTCCTCAATTACTTCCTTGTGTTGACCCACTACATTGGATCGTTCAATCATTATGAGATCTGTTTCTTCGGCATTATTTTCTTTCTCATTTGTTGAGATTACATCTTGTATGTCTGGTTGTATTGAAGGAGAAAGTGTCAACGCTAAATGGCGTTTCTGTACCGCTATAGTCTCCAGCATTGGTTGAGACAATCTAGCTGGAAGATAATATAACGGAGGTTCGGAAGTGGTGCAAAGAAAGTTGGCTAGATTTCTCTTTTGATTCTTCCAACATTCTTTCTATTAAATCAAAATTTCGATAAGGTGAATAATATTGAATTATATTTTCTACAAACAATTATTATGTATGATCTTTACCAAATCATTAATTCTTCTTTCTTCTGCCTCTCTTTTCTCTCTTGCAACTTTTTCTCTTCGTTCTTGCTCCTCTCTTTTCATTTTTTCAACCAATTCTTCGTGATCCTTTTTTAACTTCTCTTGAAGTTTTTGATCAATTTGCTCACGTTTGATTTCCTTAGTAAAACAGAAATGAATTTTGTTAATTAGTCAAAGTAAATGATGTAGCGAATGGCTATAAACTTAATTAATTCACATACAGCTTCAGATTTATTTTGACTTTCGGTTTTAAACTTTGTCAAGGTGCCTAATAGCACCCCGAATAATCTTTGTCCTCGCTTCTTAGCTTCATTACTAGTCATATCCAATCGAGGTCTTTTGGCCTAATAGAATATAAAACAACATATCAGAAAAAAAAGAAAAAAGATATTAATTAAAATTTTGAAACAACTATTATTTTTAAAGAGACCTACCTCTTCCGTATTATGTCTAGAGAAATCACTGCTTGCACGTCGCTTCGGTAAAGCATCATTACGACTCGAGCGCTTGGCAGTAGACGTGGAAGGGACCACAATACTTGAGGTTACTACCGTTTGACTTCGATGCATATAATTTAAAAAACATTTTAGCTTACTTTTAAAACACAAGTTAGATTGGAAACTTTGAAAGTTACGTAGAAAAAATTACCTAGGAGCATCAATGTTGGTGTCAAGTTGATCAGAGGTTTCTGTTGTCATACTTGATAATTAATATATAAGATACAATAAGAGAGTCAAAAAAAAAAAAAAAGGTTTTCAAGGTTTTATGTTTTATTCTGCAACGAATTCAAGAGCCCGTGGCGCAGCAACATTCATTTTCTAGCGCGTGATTGTTTCAGATCGTGTTACATATATCCGACTAAGCGTTTAACCCTCTCTACAGTCACCCCCTATATAATCACACCCTCTTTCAAGCTCACTCGGATTTTCCGGATGAACTCCATTCAAAAGTATGTAAAATCTTAAGAAGAGATCAAAATCAAAATTGACAAGTTGATAAATGATCATAGTTAAAATTTGCAACCACATATTATAAACAAGTCTGTATATAATATATAAAATTAAAATTACAATATTTTAAAGAAACAATAATAAAGACAAATATCTAGCACAATCCATCTATTATTTCAATAAAGTTTTCTGTGAGAAATTTGGATATACTCTAACCTTTAAAAATCAAGTTAAATCAGTCTTCTTTTGATGTTTTGAGTGGTAAGTTGACTTTAATGACTTTTTGCATTTTCTATTACTATTATTTTCATTCTTGTTAATATCTATATAATATATTGGTTAGCTAATATTAGATAATGTTACCTAACTGTCGATTGAGCGGACTGAAACACTTAACTGATTGAGCAACAGCTGAGTTTAGCTCAAACTCAAGTTCATCTGAAAGAGTCTTTACTTAAATTCTTAAATCAAAGATTACAAAAGAGTGTCACATGTTCTTTCTTAAAATCTCATTAAAATGTTCTTTCACAATTCAAGTTTCTAAGTCAGAAAGTATGAAGATTTTACTGACTTAATCTCTAAAGCTTCTTTAAATATTTCAAATTAATCAAAGATATTACGCTAATATGATGATTAAAATAAGAATACCAATAAAGGAGATTAATTCCTTATTCTGCTAAAATTTATAACTTTAAGGATTTTATTTGTATAAGAACGCTTATCAACAAATAATATAGATATATTTAAAACCAGTTTTTTTTAACAGAAATTCTAAAGTTACACTGTTTTTTTCAACAGAATTTTAAGATTATACTTCAAAAGATTTGTTTTTATAATAAAAACTTTATTAAATTCAAAATAATAAAGCGATTTCTTAAGAAATACAATTTATATCTTAATAAATTTACTTTCTAAAAAATTACTTTTACATTATAATTTTCAATAGCTATTTATAATAAAATTTCTAAGCTAATTTCTTATCTTATTATAAAATAATTATGTAATGATTCCTTTATCAATGAATAATGTTTATGTCATATTTAAGTAATGACTACCTAATTATTTTATAATAATCCTATAATTAATGACTATATAATTTCATAAAAATATTTAATTATTACTTTATTATTACTACATTTCCTCCTTTTCTTGAAGTTTCTTTTTGGTATACCTATTTTAAGCTTGTATTATATATCATCATAGCTATTGATTATTTTATCTTAAAACTTATATAATATATAAGTTAATCATTACTCAGCTAATTTTAATTATCTTCTGTATTGCATTAACTTTTTGCAGTTTATTTTTGTTATGTCATATAATCTTCTTATTTTTATAGATCTCTTGCATTACAATAAATAAAGGATAAATAAATAAATTCTAAACAAACTTTACTGATCATTTTTCTTAAATAGCAAGAATTTTTTTAACAGAGTTTAGTTTCATATTTGAAGGAGTCATCTTATAAGAGAACTAAAAGTTTTATATTATTAAGCTTAAAAAATTATTGATATCATATACGAATTTACATAGTTAGTCCCTATAGAAAACTACAACTTTTGTAACTATTTTATGACTTACTTACTGTATTCTGCTGATTTTAAGCATCACATTTTTGAAGAAAAAATCAGACTAAAATTTAGAATGGTGTTAAAATCAAAATATTTTATGTACTACTTTATTATTTGCGTCTTTTTTTTTAAAAAAAAAAGTTTTAATATTCAAAAAATTTAACTTTCTTAAAAGAGAGAAAATAAATAATATTTTAATAAAAATGTTTTTAATTTCTCTTTTATAAAAATAAATGTTATAACTTTTGTTGTAACATTACACAAAATAAATATAACTGA